CATGCCTTCTTCCATAACTAAGCATCGGTGATGCCACTGCGATGGCTACGAGGTTGGCTGGGCTTCCCTCCCAGTAATCAGTCAACATTTATCTTCAGATCAAGATGGTTCCTACTACTTCTTCTGGCAATATGGCTTCCTCTAAGCAATGCAATGACACCTGCGCGCATTGCAGAGTTGCGAAAAGAGACGGTCGAAATGTTTTATCATGGATTTGGCAATTACATGGAACTCGCATTCCCGGAAGATGAGGTTCGATCACTGTTAAAGGCTCAAAGTATCTATAGCTAATTTTTCCTTTAGCTAAGACCAGTATCCTGTACACCACTCACACGAGACGCTCAAAACCCTCGACATCTCGAATTAAACGATGTACTCGGAAATTATTCTCTTACTTTGATTGACAGTCTGTCGACTCTTGCAATTTTGGCATCTGCCCCTCCAGATGAAGAAGAAACCGGCGCAACAGCACTTCAAGAATTCCAAAATGGTGTCGCTTCTCTAGTATTACAATATGGTGATGGCACAAGCGGAGCGTCCGGAAAGGGCCTACGTGCTCGAGGTTTTGACTTGGACAGTAAAGTCCAAATATTTGAGACAGTAATCAGAGGTGTGGGCGGGCTCCTCAGCGCCCATGAATTTGCCGCTGGAATTCTACCAATCAATGGATACAAACCACAATCTAGCAAGACCTCGGGAAAGACTTTGAAAACACATCAACCTGCGATTTTGTGGTCGAATGGGTTTAGATATGACGGACAACTTCTGCGCCTAGCTCTAGATTTGGCGGAACGTCTACTACCCGCTTTCTATACCGCGACCGGTATGCCATATCCAAGGGTGAATTTACGACACGGTATACCATTTTATGTGAATTCCCCTCTTCATGAGGGATCTGGGCTTGGCGACTATGTGCAAGAGGACACTCCTGAAATTACCGAAACATGTAGCGCAGGAGCGGGTAGCTTGGTTTTGGAGTTTACTACTTTGAGTCGTCTTACCGGAGATCCAAGATTTGAGCAATTGGCGAAGCGAGCCTTCTGGGCGGTTTGGAATAGGCGGAGTAATATTGGACTCATTGGAGCAGGAATCGATGCAGAGAATGGCCAGTGGATTGGCTCATACGCCGGCATAGGTGCGGGTACAGACAGCTTTTTCGAATACGCATTCAAAACCCACATTCTGCTCTCCGGACAGAGCACTCCCAATATAACGACGCATAGACAACAACAGCATGATTCGTGGTTGGATCCAAATACAATATACAATGAATTGAGTGCCGAGGAGAATTCTCCAGAAGCGTTTCTTGCAGTATGGCACGAAGCTCATGCTGCAATCAGGAGGCATCTGTATAGTCCTACACACCATCCGCATTACGTCAATGTTCATCTTGTCACTGGTTCTCCGCAGGCCTTCTGGATCGATAGTCTTGGAGCTTATTATCCCGGTTTATTGACTCTGGCTGGAGAGGTTGAGGAAGCCATTGAAACTAGTCTATTGTACACCGCTTTATGGACGAGGTATGCAGCCCTTCCTGAAAGATGGTCAGTACGCGATGGGCATGTGGAAGGAGGACTTGGTTGGTGGCCTGGCCGCCCTGAGTTCATTGAATCGAATTACCATCTTTACAGAGCGACAAAAGATCCTTGGTATCTTCATGTCGGAGAAATGGTTCTGGAAGATATTAAACGCAGATGTTGGGCAACATGTGGTTGGTCAGGTCTACAAGATGTGCGCACTGGAGAAAAGAGCGATCGTATGGAAAGCTTCTTCCTTGGAGAAACAGCCAAATATCTCTACCTACTTTTTGATCCAGATCATCCAATGAATGATCTCGATGCCGCTTATGTCTTTACGACCGAGGGACACCCTCTCGTGCTTCCTCGAGAAAAGTCGAAGCCTCCCGTTACACCTCGTACACCGGTAACAACTAAAGCAGTTCAGCCAACGTATAGGGCATCTCTTCGGGATACCTGCCCTGTACCCCCTCCACCAGTACCTTTTACTGTCTCCAATACAGCTGCCAGAACGGACGTATTTCATGCTTCTAGTTTAATAGGTTTGCACATGATACCAAATCATCGTGCTACGATGGATGGTGAAAATATCAAGGTCAACAATCATACATACTTCCCATGGACTTTACCAATCTCAATGATTCCAAGTAATGGCACTTGCGATCGTCTTCCGATAACCACAACTTTCACAATTGAGTTTCCTAACAATAATCCTTTGAGCACTCAAAACGCCAAAAACGGTTTCAATATTATCTTTAATATCCCAACAAGTCTTGACCGTACAAGTGATGGTAGTATATTGGTCAAGAGTTTGTCTGGTTTGAAGATGGGCATGATACATGAAAGTCAATCACATTCTTCTGGAATCAATCAACAACTCTCCGGATCTTGGAGAGTGGGTAGTATTGCCAACATACCGTTAGGACGAGATGAGCAGATATTGATACCACGAGATGTGATTGGAGATCTCACAGATCCTTCATTCTCACGTATAAAAAATCCAGTTATGCTTGACATAGTCATACAACTTGAACACGTTCATGATCACAATCAAAATATGTCGGAAAGTGTCGAGGAATTGTTCGAAGAGGAACCAATTTACGAAGATACCCCGGCTTTAGCATTGGAAGAATCGATTAGTAATGCAGGATTAGCAGAATATAGAACTTTGCTAAGTTCTCTCCTTCAGCAAGTGACATCTGCCCTTCGCGATCCGGCTGCTACTCTACTTCCACAACCCCAGATTGCTCCGACGTATACCTACGCAACTCTCCCGGCTGTTTTACCAACTGGTAAAGGTGCACATCTCTTGATTAATGTACCGGAGGCTCCCGATCCTATGACCGCCAAGACTTCATCTGCCACTCTTTCCTTCGGAAGTATTTTCTTCGCAGGTGAAGCTTGTAATGGAAAACTCCCCGATGAAGCAGTGAAACAGCATCATGTTATAGTCATGAAACGTGGCGGCTGTAATTTCTCCGAGAAGCTGGCCAACATTCCCAGCTATACGCCCACATCTAAAGGTCTTAAATTGGTCATTATGGTTTCAGACGACAAGGACGATGTAGAATCAGGCGAGGAAGATATGGAGGATGAAGGAGCCTCGCGGAGAGGAGAGCAAAATCTCATCAGACCACTGTTAGACAAACCACAACTAACCCCAAGCGGCCTTTTGAGACATCATCAAATTAGTATGGTAATGATCGGAGGAGGCGATGAAGCCATGCAAGCTTTAAAACGTGCTAAAAGTGTCGGCATCCGTCGAAGATACCATGTGGAAAGTCAGGGACTAATGGTTAGCAACATTTTTGTGGTTTGATTTCACAAATGAATAACAGTAAATATATGAAGTACATGATCAAGAGCATTGTGGAAATCTGGCGTTAGGATATCTCATTGGGTTGGGTTGGTGCGCTGAAAAATCAAAAAGAATACCATTTCTTGGAACGATTGGGGTACCATTGTTTCATGCCTTGGTATGTTGTAGATATCGTCGATGCTTGATTTTGCATATAAACGCAATTAAATACACATTTCGTGCTTTTGCACCAGTATCAGACTTTCCAATAGTTCAGATTGCAGTCCGACAATCAAAAGCTTCGAAACTTGCAGAGACACATAGTACCCATTTTAGATCACATGATATATGAATTACTTATGATCTCTCCCCCTTTGAAGAAACTCCCATGAATTCGGGGGCATACTTCCATTCTACATGCCCATCTAATAAGCAGTCATACTGTTGTTTAAATAGACTACACCCGAACGAGAAACAAGTCATAGCCTCGCGTGTCTGTGTTTGTGCGCGTGTATTTGCGTTGCAGCAGTCGAAATCCAAATTTATCAGTGTAACTCATCAGATACCCAGTATGCCAAACGCCGAGTGGGCATAACTCCAAGAATCGCGAAATCGATAGGAATGGAATGGGTTAGGAGCAAACCACGAGGATTGTGTCAATGATTATGAGGTTACTCGTCAGCAAAGTGCTTTATCTACCCGCGCCGTTGTCAATGTAGTGCTAGATTCATATCATGATTTCTGAGGAGCGGAGAATAATTTTTCGATCAAACAAGTACCAGTGTACCATTTAGGTGAAAGAAAAACGGCTATAGATAACCTCAAGATGCATTGCCAACAATACTACTCTTTTTTGGAGGCTCAAGCATCGATACACTACCTAGTGAGTACGCCCTATAGTATAGAATTAAAACTCCCTCTGTCCCTCACTCCCATATTCAAGAATCCCAATCCTAATCCCAACGCTACTTTAATCTCCCATCAAACTCAAACTCGATCAACACCAGCCCATCTCCTCAGCAGGACTAATCTCCATCCCTCATCACGAGAAGATCGTTTACTTTTTCTCTCCATCTCCGTCTTATCCTCTCGCTGAGAATGACTATGTGCTAGGGGTCCTTCAAAATCTTGGAACGTCATCGAGGACGATATGTACTGAACATACCTATAAATCACCATTTTCGTTTTCCGCATAAGCTCCGACTTGGAAGTTGGAAACGTGCAGGTATGGTCTAGAAGAAGGCTAGTCATCAGTCTGGTGATCCACATGGATTTGGATCTTGATCTAGGGAACGGACTTCAACCATGTCCTTCGACAAGGAATTGTATTCGGTGTGCTTTTAATCTACTCCTAATCTCCTACTTCTCAACCCTCCCTGTGAATTTGCCAACTACTTACTCGGATTGCATGTATTCTGTCCCATCGGAAGACTCGCGGATATTTCAAATTTAAGTCTCAAGGTAAAAGAAATTCGTACAACAAAAGCATCATCCAATTTCGAAATTCGTCTATTTGAACATTTCCGCTACGCTATCAAAATAAGCCTTCTTTTGAAGCCGAAACCCATCTATGCAAAGGTCACTCCCAAGAGGAAATATGAGAGATCCCCAAAGTAAAAACTCCGTACGCTATGCTATTTCTCCCAACCCTTAAACTCCATACATTTTAGTCGTCTCCCAACGCTTTAAAGTTCATCGAAATTTGGTCTCACAATCGTCCATTTTCTAGGACTGACTGGAAGTCCAATATAATATTCCCAAAATCTTGAGATCTCGAGGACGAAAATCTCCCATCTATAAGTATATGTAAGCATTTGCATTGAAGAGTGTAAGGAAAAATAGCGAGAAACATACAAAGTGACAGGAGATCTAAACCATCCCCAAAGAACATATTTTGGTGATGTTCCACGTCAATCTTAATTCTTTCCGGAACAGTTCCGAGACGGTAGGCTCCTTTTCCTGCAACTTCACCTCCTCATCATATTCCGCAAAATCTTTTGCTATTGGATCTTCATGGACTTCGTCAGGAATAACATGATGTGGTTTCGTCACACGATCTGTTAGCTTAACGGCCTCTTCAGACTCATTCTCCTCTGCTTCCACCAGAGTTCTGAACTCATTGATAGCGCGGAGAGAATGGGAAATACGACCCAAAGTATTGAACAGAGCGACAAGTTCAGTTCGTTTCAATATCGGGACGTCCAAAGAATTATTATCGGTTTCAAACAAAACTTTTAGCGCTGCTCCGTAACCTGCGGTTTGGACTTTACCCCAGAGTCGACATTTATCACAACCTACACAATCCATGATTCGACTGATATTTCTGAATCGATTGCGGAAATCCTCTTTCAAACTTGGACCTTCTCCATTAACAAACATCAAACTTTCGTCGAAAATTCGAGTCTCCTTGGATGCTTTTGACATTAGAGTTTGCACCTTGGATTGGGTAAGTTGATCTTGAGCTGGATCTCCAGAACAGAAAGTGTAGTCCTGAAGCGAAGGGCCAAGTTTTGTGACTGCTCGTAGAACAAGAGCGTAATTGAAGTAAAGATTCGATACACGTTCTGGAAAGCCATGTAGGCGGTCTTTGTAACACTCAACATTCATGCCCCATTCACCTGTAGTTTGATTCAAATACTCGTAGCAGAGATGCGTGCTAATGGAGGTGTGCATGCCAGAAATGACTCTATAGAAGACACGTTTCTCCAAACACTCATCCTCCAATTCAAGACCAGTCTCTGCTACGAATGGGAGATTTGGGGAATGCTCTCGTTGTTCTTCCAGGATGTGTTGACGACCATGTTGTTTGAGAACAGACTTGAGTTCATTTGCCGCGGGCTCTTTCAGAGATAATGGAGAGTGACCAAGGGATTCCGAATGTGGGAAGGATGCTTTTGAAAAGCAATTCTCTCGATAAATGGCATCCCAGACTTGTTTTGTACCCTCACCAGCATATCCGGTGAATCTCTCCGGGTTATCTACCAAACTCACATAATCTCCCTTTGATCCTGCGCCTTCATCGTCCGGTACACAGTAATCTCTCTCGTCACATTCATCATCGTATTCTACCACACAACTCTCTCCCACATCCTCGCCGAGCTTTCCTTGTAGTGGTTTCTTTGGACGCTCTTGTTGTAATTTCTTGCCCGGATGACCGGCTTTTGGTCCTTCTAGTTTCCCCAATTCCTCTGCCCTCCATACCAGGGGTATATCTTCTTCATTGTCCAATGTATTCACGGCGCAGGCAATGTTGCCACACATGCCATTCTCGTCGTTCCAAAATGGACATTCCTTACCGAATAAGTTCAGACGGTAATAGGCAAAGAAATCGGTGGTTCGTGTGAGGTCGTCTAAGGAAGGTAATATTTCTCGGTTCAGGTCATCGAGGGAGGCATATGTCGTACATGCATCCGAAACGATAGCTTTTGGGGAGATCTGAGTGATGGCATTAGACACATATGCCTGGTAAAAGAAAAGTAAAGCATACCGCGCAACATCTGGACTTTGAATAGTCTTTGATTTGGATGAAGAATCAGAAGCTTCTACATGAGGAGTACAAGTACTCAAGAGAGTAAATAAACCCAGGTAGAATGCTCGAGCGGCGGTCTTCATGATGAGACTGACACTTGGCCTTTTGTTTGATATATTAGATGAATTTCATTCAGGCACAAGTAAAAAGCTTCGGAGTTTCCGAAGTAGGACGTTGAATTATCCAGAGATATGATAGGGTGGGAATATGAGGAGGTTGATGTATTGAGAACCTATTTTGTCGATTTCTTGTAACTCTGAAAGGAAGGTCAAGATAAGAATAGTTTCTATGAGATGGAAGAACAATGACAACCTTTCCGAGTAGATTCTTCTAGATGGTAGATTGTGAATTAAAGACACCTTTCAATAAAGAAATGTAATGTAAAAGCATGAAACTTTTGTTCATTTTGTTTTTGTTTTTAATTTTTCATATTCAATTAAATATACATAATCCCTCACTAGTTATATAAACATATATGTTGATTTGAAAGCATATGATGATGCAGGTGTTTTGAGTGTTTTTACAATCTGTCCATTTTAAAGGAGCCGGAGTGGCTCGAGAGTGGTTCGAGAGTGGTTCGTTATCATTCATTCATCCATCCATCCATCCATCCATCCATCATCTATCGGATCTTCAGCCCGGAGATCAAACAGTGCCACTTAAAAAAAGCCATGGAATCCATATGTAAGGTTAATGGAACATCAACGGAATATCCAACCGAAGATTCAACGGGCCGGATCATGGTGTTGATGGCATAAATACCAAGTAGACTCCTCCAGCTACCTCGGGTTCCAAGGTTACCATTAATAGAATTGGCTTCTACAATGTCTTGTACTAGATTAGATCTACAGTCGAAAGGTGTCGCCATGCATCCTCCCGTTTCTTCTTCGATCCCTTCCATTTTAGACATTCACGTTCAAAGGTTACTAAGTACCTACCTCGTATTTACCAAGCACCACATCAAAGGACATGCGCGAGAATCAAATGTTATCAAACATCATTATTACCTTATATCCATAACATACGAAGTTCAACGAGCGTGATGACCTACTTATAGTCCTTCGCATCATACGACTATTTCCTCATATCATCTCACCAAGCACGGAACAACTGTCACACAATCACACTATATCAAAAACATACATGTAGATATGATTTATTGTTTTTTTGGTAAACTCTTGCCTTCGAATGAGAGTGCAATAACCTGAGAACCGTCGCCCCCCCTTGCAACCCCTTCGTCGTCCTCCCGTTTTGCATGTACTTATGCTGAACCTGCCACCATACATCATCCGATCCTCAGTGTTGGTTTCTTTTCTGCTTTTCTACACTCCCTAAATCCATTGCAACCAGCCCTAAAAGGCCTTGCTATCATTAACTTCCCAAGATGAACTAGGACCAGTATATAGCAGTGGAGATGATGTTAATTAATCCTGATCTAATACATCAAACGAATAATTGAGAACCATAAAGTATAAGTCGTGTAAGTTAGGAGAGACATCAGACGTAACATCGTCAAAGCATATGTCCTCCTGTATAAGGTGTTATGCTGAATCAAAAGACTCGTTGAGATCGAGTTTGATTCAAAGCAGCATATTTACTGTTGTTGAGTTGGTGGTTGATAATTAATAGATCTCCTAAATAAATTCATTAGCGTTTGATGAAGGTTTAGGGGAATGTCCTAGTAACGTACTTGAAGAGTAGAATATGTGGTTCTGGTTCATGTACCTCATAATGTTCCCAACCAAGACTCTATTTTCACCTGATCAGTTCCATTTCTTTTGGAGTTCAACTTTTCTCTCTGCATACCTGTGTAATTCCCAATGCTCTCCATTCTTCCTCCCACAACAGCTTCAAGGTACCAGTTTGGGGGTCATGGTATTCCTTTGGGATAACTTTCAGCATAGCTTTTGGTAGTTGAACATGTCGGTACTCGTATTGGTCGTCGGAGTATCTATCAGAAAGGATAAGTGTTTGCGCGACGGAAGGAATTAGACCCAAGGTTTGCGCCATAGCTTGTACTGACCTTGCGGAATAATGAATTGCATCAATAAATTCATCCAAACGCTCCTTCTCGGCCTCGGAAAGTGGTCTCGCGTACTTGTTTCTTCTGGTATAGTCTATTTCGGCCATTGTGCTCTGAGTTCTATTCTATTCTTGTAGTCGCGATTGATGAATATTGTCAAACGTATAGGTGGGGCAACAACGCGACAGAGAGTATTTTGAAGGTTGAATCGACGGACTCGAAGGTTGGACGAATGTTCTGTGGTGTATGAGGTCTTGTCCTATCGAGACCGATGACGATTATATGATTGGCGCCGGCGCAAATGTATATGGTATTCGATGTAGGAAGGCGTCGAGGGGTTGATTGGCTTGAGATTGCGCTTCTTTTGCGGTGAAGAAAAGTATATGCGAAAGGCAAAGGGACGTAAGTATTGGAAAAAGTGATTGTAATATTGCAATTGATTGAAGACAAAAGAATTCCTCAAGCAAATTGTAGTGACTGCAAATAACTTGTTGTATTTGTTTGTGTATTGTATGTGACGTTGTTGTGAAAATTGAGTTGATTGATTTAATGAGTTGCGAAAGTGTTTATTTTGTTATTGGGATATCAGAAGTGGACTCGGGAGGGGGGTGGTGGTGTAAACAAATAGAAAAGGTCTTGGGTAAAAAGCTCAGTGACCTTTTACTTGTTTGTGTCGGGAGGTAAAGTGGAGTCCAGCCTTGTTGAAAGGGTGAAGCACAGCCTTGTTGAAAAGTTTGATGTGCAGCCTTGTTCCTTTCATTACGTGTGTCCAATCAAACCACCACTGCAGGTAGCATGGCATGGCATGACCAAGACTTTTTATAACAGCCTGAGGCATCATCACCTTCTCTCGAACCGTCATGTGATACAACCCTCCAATTCCAATTCATTGCCAGGACTGACTCTGAATGTTTTATCGCTTCAGTGGATGTTGGAAACTGTTGATTGATTGAGTTGAGTTGAGAATACAAATTGCAACTTTCCTTGAAACAAATCTCGCCAACATTGAATTCCCAAGAAATTCTTTGAAATTCCAGTTTTACATGATACTCATCCAATACTCCAATCCGAGAAATTTCATTCATCATTATCGTATCTTCATCCTTGTTGCGTGGTAAATCGGAGCAACCAAATCAAAAGATCATTACCCCTGCATATCTCCCCATCAGTACTTCGAAGTTTGTAAAGCTTCAGAACGCGCATATTCGGCTTTGACGCGTCCGCATTCTTCATTGGAATTTCGCATCAATTCGCAGATTCGATTCAAGTACATCTGCGAAAAAGTACACGAGGAGTCATCATCCGAAACCGTACCGTACGATACAATACAACACGACACGGCACAATACGATAGATAACAAGATGGATCCAAAGAGAAAGGTTAATGGTGATAGCGCTGCGGATCAAGATGATGCGGATCGCGCTGCGAAGAGAAGAAAGCTTCCCATTGTAAGTTTGCGCCTATTTCGTGGTTGATATTGTTGCGAATCGATGTAAGACAGAAGATTCAAAAGTTTGGGTGCATTGCTCGTGGGGTTTAAATAACTACCAGCTCTTTCTCCATTGGCGGCCAGGGAAGTGAGCCGGCGCACAACCACTTCTTCTTATACTTTCTGTCAATCATCCTTCATAAATACTATGAATGCGAAAATGACAAGAGAACGAGACTAACAATGAATAGAATGGTGATCTGAGCCAAGGTCAGACACCAGAAACAACAACGTATTATGGATTGATACTTTTGAATCAACTGAGGACGGGTCTGGATAAACAGTAGGTTAACCTCTCTCTAAATGATTTCTTTTCGCGATAGATCTGCTATCTCACCAATCTTGGGTATGCGATGGAGGGGTCGTCGTGTACGCGCATTTGGCTACCACCACGATTATCACCTCCATTGCTCTAAATTTACAATTAATATAACTCCTTCAATTCTCAGTACAACCCACTAATGGCTTTATCTTTTATAGGGGGCGACCTTTCGCGACCAATTTCCTCACCCTCCCCGATAGAAAAGAATTCGCCGCCTATTATGCCGTTACGAAGATGCCAATCGCCTTTGACACCATTCAAGAGAAGTTGGACAATTTTGCCTTTGCTACTTTATCTGAACTTGAGAGTTTCTTCAAGCGGTTGGTAAAAAACGCAAAGGATTACAATGAACGAGAATCTATAATCCATCGCGATGCTGAACGGATAAGAAAGGCAGTAGTCAAATTTATGACGGACAATAATCCAGAATATAAGACAAATCCAGGAATGAAGTTAGAGCCTACGCCTATTGAAGTTCTCGAACCGATCGAATATAATCCGGGTTCTAAACCTGCTGGGTCTATACCAGCACATCCTAAGCATGTTGAGCCCACGCCTGTACCGATTGTGCAAGATGATAGTGATATAGATGCGGAAGGAGAGCCAGAAGATTTTGAGGCGGAAGAAATAAAGATTGAGCCACAACCGGTCGTAAAACGAAGAGGTCGACCCCCAAAGAATCCCTTGGCACCACGTAAGAGCACTACTCCCGCAGTGTCCGACTCACAATATGCTGGTATCAGCTTTGCGGGACTTAGTTTCCAACAAGCGCAAGAGAAGATTTTAGCAGATGTTCTCTCACATAAAGAAGACCCATCGTAAGTACAATGAATTGCATTGTTGACCTACGCTAATTATCAATTTAGTGATGATTTCTTTGAGTTTGAACCGTTTGTTTCACTACCTCCACGTAGTCTAAAGGACTATTATCAAGTGATCCCAAACCCACACTGCTTGAAGGATTTGCAAAAGCGTGTTAAAGGAACTTTTGGGGGAAAGCATGCCACGGGTGTCAGCGATTTTAAGTCATGGGCTGCTCTTGAAGAAGATGCAAGTTTGATATGGAAGAATGCGTATCACTACAATGAAGACGGAAGTGAAATCTTCAACCTAGCAAGAGATCTTGAGGTACGTGACCGCCCTCTCATTTGCCACTTCTTTATTAACATCTTTGTCAGGTCTTTTTCAAGAAAACTTTGGAAGAAGCTAAGAAAGTTGTGCCCGAGCCCGTGATTCCAAAGATAAAAATCAATGTTAAGGCACCTGAACCTACTCCGAAGATCACTTTGAGAGTCGGAGTAGCTAGAGCAGCGGACTCACCGGCTCCATTGACTAGTGGTTCCAACGGAACTGTAGCTTCTACAGCCTCTTCCAACAGCGAGACCCGTAGAAACCCATTTGGTGGTTCCCACTCAGTTGCGACGCCTGCTCCAAGACTAGACCAATTAGAAAGAGCTAGGAGTATGTCAAATTCTGCAGCATCTCCAACCCTTTCTAAAAGTGTACTTGTAAAAGGCGAGGAAGCTTTGCGCAATTCGCCTGCCCCAATGCAATCCACTCCAAGGCTCGTCAATCAAACCGGCTCGACGCCAACACTGGCTCCAAGTAATATGCTTCCACCAAATACACCCAATGCATCTAATCAAAACTCATATAATCAAGGTGGCTATGCACAATCATTTAATCACCAACCCGCAAATCTTGGTTTTGATTCCAAATTCAGGGCACCAGGGAAAAGTTAGTATAATTTTCTTGTACTCAGCTACAGTGCTAACAAAATTTAGATGCTTCTCATGCTATGATCACAAATCTGAGTATCGCAACTCATCCACGTCTTAATGTTTCTCGTCATTTCCATATGGATCTACCCCCATCCGCAACATTAGCGCAACAATCTATCACGATCAACCTCCCTTCGACGCATTATTATCTTCAAATCAAACCAACAATCGCTCAAGCTTTACTCGAGCGTCAATATAAGATCTTTGTTACGTCTGGAGTAACTAGATTGCATGCTATACCACTCATACCAAATCATGGAGTCGACCCCCGACAACCTCTTTTTGAAGCTCGGCTTGTTCCTGGTGTTAACAAGATTGAAGTTGAATTAATTGCAGCCCTTCCTAAGGGTACAGTAAAGCCTGCTGGTGGGCCTGAAGTTGAGATAGAAAAGGTCACAGTGTTTGCTAATTTGATGAGAAACTGACAAGAGTATTGTTTTGTAATCCAAGGCTATGAGACTAACCTACGGTAGCAATGGTAGGCGTTATTTTGGCATTCTGATTTTCTGAGTCTAAGATTAAATATTAGGGGGCGTCTCAGAGGCCTATCGCAATTTTGTGGTTTGGCAAATGGTGAGGTTCGGCATTGTACAAGTAATTTATGTATCATAAGGAAATGGGGATGGCCATGATATGATAATAGAGCTGTGTTAGATATCCAGTTCTGGAGTTTGAGAGGGGAGAAGAGGCACGTGTCCTTGGCGCGCGCCATATAAGTACTTTTAACATTCAGTAGAAATATGAACAGCGAAGAAGCCCAGTTTCCTGATAATTAAGCCTGAGTTTCCAATACTTCACGTGAATCTATCCAAGCTATCAGATATGTGTTGGTCGGCCTTCGATGACTCGGTCAAGTGGCTCCAGTTTGTTCGCTGGATGACCGACCATGAATTTGGTTACCTAAATATTGCACATGAACTTGGTTATTATCCTATCATTCAACTGGCCTTATGCAACTTTCGCCAAAATTCAAGCCCGTTGACACTTCTATCCCATACTAATTCTTGGAGCTTTCTTTCCATCGATCGTGTTTAGTGTGCCTGATATTCGGACCGCAATCGAATTTCATTCTCCAACGTTTAAAAGGATCAGAATTTTTCAAAGTTTGGTATTGTCAAAATACAAGCCGGATAATTGGATATTCTGGCCATACGTCTACAAGCAACATTTCTGCTTTAATCCGCACGGAGGTAAACACATCATGAATTTCTCTTTCTTCTCGAATGCATGTAGTGATTGAGACTATGCACTTCGACGCTTGAGTGTGAGTTCAGGAGTCGATTTGATTTGGAAATTTATGGAGCAGAGATTGGGGAGCGAGGGAACGGTGGATTGCTTTGTATAGATGTAATGTCTGAGGTTAACTAAAATATTGGGGATACCCGGGTGGGATTCAACGTTGTTTTTGCTGCTAGACATAAACATTTATTTTACGTGAGTAACTTTTGATGAGAATGGATATGCGACAGCAAGGAGAGCTCGGCTCAGAGAAGAGGGTCTGTTGCAACAGTATT